TCCACCACCACCACCACCTCCCCCTCCTCCTCCACCCCCACCACTCCCACTTCCACTTCCTCCTCCCCATCCATTTCCTCCTCCTCCACCTCCACCTCCTCCACCCCCTCCTCCACCTCCACCACTTCCTCCACCCCATTCATGACCTTGTCCATTTCCTCCTCCTCCTCCTCTTCCACCACCTGAACCTCCTCCACCCCCACCTCCACCGCCACTTCCTCCACCCTTTCCTTTTCGCCCTTTATGTCCACCTCCTCCACCTCCATTTCCTCCACCTCCGCCACTACCTCCTCCTTTTCCACCGTTCCCCCCACTGATCTTCATTTCACCTAATAACACTTCCGACGAGTTTGTCCCACTCACACCAACATCTCCCACCAAAGCACGAGAAACTTCAGCGGTAGAGTTGACCATGCCCTTGTCACCCTTTAATTCATGAAAATCATTTTTCACATTACCTAAACAAGGGCCTAAAATCACAGCAGTCACCAGAAACACCCCAAACACACTCCTCACGACCCCCATGTTTTGGTTTTCCCACATGAGCATGCATAGCCCTTACCTTCTACCACCCTTTTATACCCTTCTCAATGCACTGGAAACACTCGTGTATTCCTATTCACAAACCTGAATGAAGTACAATATAGTCCCCACCCTCACTAACAAACTCCAAGCCGCAGAATCCCGTAACCCTTCCACAAAGCTGCAAAAGTTTGGCCACGGTGATGATGAATGAAAACAAGACCTGTAACTTTGATTTCCCTTCAAGTGCAATTTGTCCCCACACAGCAATTTTTTTACACTCCATGTAATCCAGAGCATATTATTAATAACACTAGTACGTAAAATCACTTAGTCCCAGTTCCTATTCAAAACTATCACAACAACTGCTCCAATAATAAAACTGCATATATAAAAGTTTAGTTCTTTAAATTTAAGAATCCATTACCAATAACTTTGTTATGAGAGACAATGAGGTTATAAACATACACATGATGCTTATTCTGCTTTGTAGTTTCTGCGGTAGATTAGTTTAAGTTTATGTGCTAACCGCACATACTAGCACTTGGTCTGAGAAGGTTAGTGATTGGTTTTGTGGGAAGATGAAAAGATCTATAAGTATTATAGTTGGAAGTCTATTAATACTTTCTTCACTTGAATGAATTTGGGATAGAGTAATTGAAACGGATTTGAGAGGATTTGAAGGTAAATTGTTTTATTGTTTATTTGAGTGAATTTGGAGGTAAATGAAAGTGAATTTGGAAGTAAATTTTTTTAATTTGTGTCAATCAAATCCTACACTAATTCTCACAAACTTTACTTTCAAATTCACTCTAACTTACCTCCAAATCCACTCAAATAAACAACAAAAAATTTTACTTTCAAATCCTTTCAAATCTCCTCGATCACTCTTTCTATATCTATTTAAGTAAATAAGGCCTAAGTAAAGAGATAGACAATGCTATATATATATATATTGCGTAAAGCACATATGTAGTTGGGATGGGTGGTGGTGGCTTTTTCTTGAAGATTAGAATTTTGGTGGAAGCTGTGGTAGTGGTCGCGTGACAAAGATTGATTGCATGTGGTGGACATCAATAAACTATATGGAATAGATGTTAAAAGAAAGATTGATGCTAGTGGAGGTAATGTCAATGTTGCATACAGAAAAGAGTTCCAATATCTTTGATTTGTTGTTGTGTGCTATCATTTCTAAGTATGGAGAAAAATATTTCCTTTTCTCTTCCTGTTGCTTGTGCTTTAGCCTTCCAGAGGGTCTCATACTCCTGATAATCGTTTCATGGAGAAACTTGACTAGTCATTTCACGAAAATGAAAACCTTGCTTAAGAGAACGAGTGTTGTCAGGTTCGGATATTCAAATATTAAGTGCTTTAGAAACTAAACTGGTATTAAAATAATTGAAAATAGATTAAAAGAATTGTAAACGTGTCTTAGAGTTTTTTAATTTACTTTTTTCTAAAAACAAACTATTTGATTCATTTTCGGGATTTACAATAATTTAAAAAGAGATTATATTTAAATATGATGTTATTTGTTTAGGATTAATTAACAAACTGGATATATTTTTGAATAATATTTTATACTGATTATTTATAGTAAACAAAGATATCTGCAGTAAATTTTGATTATAAGATTGTTGAATCTGCTATACCTAGTACCTAGATAAAAATTTAGTATTGTGAAAATATCAAAATTACCTATTCTTATTGTTTTTTTATACACCTGGAAATTTTGACGTTCTTTTGGTAACTTAATGTTTTGTGGTGTTGTAGTCATGCGAAAATAAGAAATTCTTCCATTGGCCTTCGTTATTCTATGAGGGTTGAAATTGTAGTTGGGTTTTTTTTTCTTTGGTTCGATTCTCTTCTCCTTTAATTTGGTTCATGACATTTTGATTTTGCAAGCTGTCTCCATATTCTTGGTTTCGTATTTTGGTCGAAGATATTTTGATTTTGCAATTTGTCCTTCATATTCTTGGTTCCATTTTTTGGTTTTTGATTTTGCAATCTTCACCATTGTTGTTTCTCATTGTTTTTTTGTGTTGGTTTGCCGCTCTCGACTTCAAAGGTCAGATTTTTGGGTTCATTACATTCTCGTTTTTGTTTGATTTGTTTGGATTTCTGGAATAAGATTACTAATTTATTTGAGTGTGTTTACTTAGTGATTGTTAAAAAGGTGCTGACTTTGGGCTTGAGTTACGTTTTATCTCGATTTGAAAGGTCAGATTTTTGGGTTCATTACATTTTCGTTTTTGAGTAATTTATTTGAGTGTGTTTATTTAGTGATTGTTGAAAAGGTCCTGACCGTGGGCTTCAGTTATGTTTTATAGTAGATTGTATAATATTCTGTTATGGCAGCATACACATTTTTCTAGTTTAAATGTCCTGAAATATAGTGTTTTTTTTTCGTTTTTTTATGTTATCATACATGTTTAACTTGACAGCATGATAAAGAAATATCAAGGATATTGATGGTAATCTGCAGTAGTGGTTATCGTCGCGAAGGAGGGAGGAAAACAACTTTTGTGGAAAAAATTCTTGGCGTGAGTAAAATTTTAAACAAAAATAGGTTTTTGTTTTTGGTAACTAAACACATTTATGCTTCGATTATAAAAAGTATAAACTTTTATTTAAAAAATAAATAAATAAATAAATATTAATGACAGTTTTTAAATTAATAGGAACTTTAAGGTATCAGTTCTCAAATAACTGAAGCCTAAACGTGTGTATGTTTCAATTTTTAATAAAATCAATGAACTTTTTGAACTATTATTTCCTTATCACGCACATGCTTTTCTTTATCTTGAACATAATATTTTCCTTGTTTGTCTTTGCTTCCTAATGACCAAGTTTCAACTAGCTTTAATTAGGGTTAAAATGCATTCTCTTATCTTGCTTGTTTTCCATAATGCTTTTCAAACCCAACTAATAGCATTTATATTTACAATTTTGAATATATCCTACAAGAAATAAAATAAGAATTACATAACCAACATATATCACTCAATATTTTAGTATGTTTCTTAATTTGTCAAATTAGGGTGAAACATTTCCCTTTGTAATGTCTACTATAGACACAATGAAAAGCACATAACACATTGTGATCGTTCCTTATTTATTTATTGAATTAGGAATTGTAAATACTTCATGATATTCACATCTTTCAATTACTTACTCCCTTTAATGAAGAGATAATTTGAAATCGAAATAACCATACTAATTATCATATGGATAATAACACTAACAATTATTATTATATTAAGGGACATATTTTTTGGAAACCAAGTATTCTTTGAATCATTATAAAGAGGATTTTTATTTAAAAAGGTACAAGAACTTTATTTCTTTTCTTCAACTCAGCTTCTTAATGGTAACTTATTCTTTCAAAAGGATAGAATATTCGTCATGTAATTTTACCCTTTATTGTTTCAACAACTTTCAAAATAAATTATTGTATTTACAAAGGCATCAACATATGTACCTTTATTCGACTATAAGAATTTCTTCATAACAAGATCTTAAGTACTTGTTGAAAGATTTGCGAATGTATTATATTATAATTAAGAAAAGAAAACAATATATTTATCATTTTGTAACAATGTTAGTTTATAATTTTTTAATATATTACATAAAATTGTTTACAAACATTTTATTTTATTTTTCTTAATCAAAATTGTTTCTGTAAGTAGGTCCGAGACTGCGCTTCTTTCTTCCTGCTGCGATGTCACCGCGATCCCCTTCAAGATATCAACTCCACTACACCGATCGGTGGTCTCCTGCAGGCAAAACACCCCGACGCTCAAGTTAGTTTTTTAGTTCGAAAAGTCTCAACGCTGTAATTATTTAGATAAAAAAAGTACTTTTATCTGGACACCCATCATATATTTATAAACTTGATTCCTAACGACAATTGTTACCTGCTAATTAATGCCATATTCATTTCGTATATTTTATTTCTAATTGTTCGTTCTCTGACCATTAACGCCCCATGTTTCGTTTTTCACTGCATTGATTGACCTTTAATGCTCTTTATTCGTCTATCATTCTCTGAGCGCTCGATCGCCGGTATGTCTGCCACAAATCCCTTCATGCAGCTCCCTCATAACATAGTCCGCCTCTTCTTTGGATAAGCATTTCATCATCGACGTAGTATAACCTCTTCTGTACAAATCTTCACCCACCATAATGTATCTAGCAATTTTCTTCCCTTCCTTCATTGGAATGGTTACCCCACCGTCCTGCTCCTTCATCAGCTGAATCACTTCCTTCCTCCAATCATTTTGCCCGACGGTGTTACACACAAGAAGGAAATCAATGGTTGGTTTCATTAACACTTGTCTAATAACAGAAGACAATTTCCCCTTCTCCTTTCCCCCGGCTAGCTTAGACAACCTATCTGCCCGAATATTTTCCTCCCGAGAAATATGTTTCAACTCCACGGCTTTAAACTGAGCTTCCAGCTGCTTAGCCTTGTGAAAGTACTGTAACAACTAATCATCCTTGACCTGAAAATTGCCCTTCATATGCCCTTCCATCAATTGAGAATCCGTCCTGCACTCTAGGAATTCAATTCCTAAGTCTCGTGCCAACTCCATGCCCGCCAACAGAGCCTCATATTCCGCCTGATTATTACTAACTTTGAACTTAAAAAGTAATGACTGCTCGACAAGTATCCCGTGCGATCCCTCGAGTACAACTCTGCCCCCCCCCCCATTTTTATTATACGACCCATCCACATAAAGCCTCCAACGTCCTACTCCCCCTTCCTCTGTAGGTAACTCGACAGCAAAATCAGCCAATGTTGACCTCGTACCGACCCACGCAAAAACTTGTTAGCTGCAAAAGCAACGACAAGTGCACCGGTCGCAACGTAGCAAGTGATAAATATCATTCTCTCCCAAGGGACTTGTGCAACACATGACAATTCTTCCTTTTATAACTCAATTAGACATCAAAGTGTACAAAAAACACAAGAAACTCTTTTTGGTATTTTATCAAACAGTTGGTGTGCAAGGAATTTAACATAGAGTATTTACAATTTGTTAAGACTAGAATTCATCCATTTCATTCTCATGCATTCACAAACATCTCAATTCCATCCAATAGGTGTTCAATTTCAGTTCTAGGTTCAATTCATATTTCTCAATACATCAAGAACCAAAATTCATGCATGAGTGAACAATCCAAAGCAAGCATTAAGCATAGAAATTGAATACTAACATGAATTGGAACAACATATATCATTAACATCACAAAATACATAAGAATTCCATGTTTTACAACTAA